TAATAAAGAATGGAGTAATTAATTCTGTAGTTGGCATAAGTGTTACTGAAATATTTAAGCATTATGCCATCTATATGTACTGAAAATAAATATAGTAATAAATATTTAGAACTGAAAATACTGGTTACCACAACTGATCTCTGTAGTTGCCTAATAACAACCTAACGTTGTATTTAAGAAACTAATTTTGTTGCATTAGTTTTATAAACTAAACAAGTATTTTGTTATCAGTACAATTCAATTTTCAATACTAGTAACTAAAAATGTTAGTTTATTTCTACATAATAGTCAGTTATCAGCTACCAAAAATAACCGAATTGTTTTGTTGATTCTATAGGACGTTTTATACATATGGTTAGGTGTACTATTTTACTATTTAAAGTAAATAAAGTACTAATTTTTTATCTAGTTTGTTAAATTTACTGAACCCTCCTAGCTAACTTACCCTTTGTTTTGTTAATAATTATTTCGTAATTTCAACAATATTATTTATACAAGGTTCAAAAGTACAAATTGATATGAAATTTAATATAATTAAGGAAATAAATTACAGTGTAATAATTTAAATAAATTTATACAAACATCACATTAAATTATTACTAATTCAAAAGAAGATAATTTTACATAATTTATAGTTGAAATGAAAGATCTATGATTTAAAATTATTTACAAAATACACAGTTGGGTTATTTAGCACACTCGTATAGTTAGCAATCGACTGTCCATCATTAGGCATTTGTCATTTTTAACAACAATTAGCTACTAATATGTTTTCAAAAAATCAACAACGCGTACAGTTAGTCTCCTAGTATTAATGTAACAATAACAATAAATAAATTTTGTTGTAATTACAACAAAATCATAAGTCGCGATAGCATAACGGTGGTTAATTAAACAACATGTGAATCTCTAGGATCAATTTGATAAACTTTCTTAGTAAAATGATATTTAATTACAAATTAGTTTGTACAGAGTTTTTGTTTTTTTTTTACTGTTTATCATATAACTAAACATTATAGAACTTAACTCTTCTTCTTCTTTTTCCTCGCCTTAATCCCAACTACTTGGGGTCGGCCACCCTTATCCTAAACTTCCACTTGACACGATCTCCCACATCCTCTACGCTCACATTAGATGTCCTTATATCGCATTCAATAAAATCTCTCCATCTCTTTTTTGGTCTTCCTCTAGCTCTTCTTCCTTCAACATTCATTTCTACAACTGTTCTTACGGCTTCCAATTTTTCTCTTTTCATAACATGACCAAATCATCTAAGTCTATTTCCTCTCATCTTATCCACGATTGACGCTGCACCTATACTCCCTCTTATATGCTCGTTCCTTATCCTATCTTCTCTAGTTATTCCACTCGTCCATCTAAGCATTCTCATCTTTGCTACACTCATTCTCTGCTCTATTTTCTTATCAACTGCCCAACACTCTGAACCATTCATCATAGCTGGTCTCACTACAGTATTGTAGAATTTACCTTACAGCCTCATTGGAAATCTTTTATCGCATAAGACATCAGACGCTTCTCTCCACTTCAACCATTTAATCCGGTGTCATACATCCTCGTCAATACCACCGCTCTTTTGCACAACTGATACTAAATACTTAAAACTTTCCACCTCTCCAATCACGTTCTCGCCTATTGTCACTGGTC